TGTTGGTATGTATTACAGGTTCTCCCAGGTAAAGTAAGATATTAATGTATAATTGATCCTAACCACTTCCAGTGAAAGACGTAAACCACACCTGACGCATGTGAAAACAATTTTTTTTTTAAAGAACAAAATCCAGGGGGCGCCTGGGTGGCTCAGTCGTTAAGCGTCTGCCTTTGGCTCAGGTCATGATCCCAGGGTCCTGGGATCGAGTCCCACATCGGGCTCCCTGCTCGGCGGGAAGCCTGCTTCTCCCTCTCCCACTCTCCCTGCTTGTGTTCCCTCTCTCGCTGTTTCTCTCTCTGTTAAAAAGTAAATAAAATCTTTTAAAAAAAAAGAACAAAATCCATACAAGTAATTTTCATTATTCTCATTAACTGTAAAAAAAAAAAAACTTTCTAGGGGTCATTAAAATATATTAATAATTCCTCATTCTTTTAATACTTTCTATTCAAACATCATAAGCACTCACCACATACTGCGGGACCAAAAATAACCAGAAAGGGGCAGGGGATGTGCTGCCTGGTGTAACAGCTAGTCTAGGATAGATAAACTGACAGCAGCCTAGTTACAAGAACACCTAATTGTAAAAATGCAATTTTGGTGCAACAAAAATGATACTATATTAAAAAAAGTAGATTTTAAAATGCAGAGGAAATCTCCATTTCTTTATTTTTGCTGACAAAGAAATAAACAACTGTTCCTAAGGGTAGTTGAATATTAAATTTACTGAAGTTCATAAGTGTGCTGTGGTTGTGTAAGAGATGTCCCCTTTCAGGAAATACACATTCAAGTATTTAGAGATAAAGGGCCATGATGCATGTAACTTACCCTCAAATGGTTAAAAAAAAATTATGTGTGTGTGTGTGTGTGTGTGTGTGTGTGTAGAATGAAAGAGGAGGGAAGGGATACAGACACAAAACTAACAGGATAAAATGGTAACAATAAATCAACCTGGAAAAGGTATATAATTTCTTGTAATACTTTTATTTCTGGAACTTTCATATACATATGAACTTAATTCCAAATAAAGTATTTTTGTTTTTTTTGTTATAATAAATAAGGGAAAAAATAGCACAATGTTGATAATTCTTAAAGATGGGTTATGGATAGGTGGTCATTCTACTACTCTCTCTACTTTTATCCATCTTTGAAATTTGCCACAATAAAATGTTTAAAAAAATAAAAATAAAGAGCAGGTGAAATCATGTATTAAGTTCGCTACTAAAGTGACTAGAAAACAGAAGGCATTCAATAAATGATAGATGTGTTATTATAAACCGAGTTCACTCTATCTGGAGTGTAGACAAGTTATTAGTGTTTGCTATTTCAGTACATACAGCAAGTATTTACTGACAGTCCAGATGTAAGGTGCTCTGCTGGAGACAGCAGTGAACATGCTCACATTAAGTCAAGCACCAGCTGACACACTCAGGACTCAGGTTATGATGAGAGAGGACCAGAAACAAAGGTGAAGAGTCAAAGGAACTGAGCTCAAGTGCAAACCAACATCACATCTTTCCTAGGTGATCTTAGAAAAATCATAACTAGGAACATCTCTTCATCAGTCGTATTACAGAAAGGTAAAACCACGTATTTGACAAGGTTGCTACAAGAACCAAGTGAAATACATGAAAAGTGCTCTATAAACTCTCAAGTGTTATCCACATGTTAGTTTTCATTGTATTGTATGTAGAGGCCAGGTATGGAGAATGAGGTTTGTACACAGTAATCGTAACGCAAAGCCAAGTTAAGTATGCCACAGGGAAAGAGCACACCTGGCTAGGAGAGAAAAGGAAGTCTTCATGGAGAAGGTGGTACTTGAGATGGCCCTTCATGGATGGACCAGCAGAAAAAAGTCAGAGAGGAGGAAATAGGATTCTAAATGAAAGAGATAATCCAAGGAAAGACATGAAAGGGGGAGAGCATCAGGCATGTGAAGAGTAACAGAGTTCTTACTAGAGTCTGGGCAACAAACAGTAGAATATTCAACCAGAAATACATCTGAAAAAGTGAGAATAAACTGGAGAAGGCCTTGCCTAACGCCTGGGAGGGTCCAGATGTGTGGTTCACTACTCACCTAGCACGAGGAAGCTTTTCTTCCTCTGCCAGTGCCAACGAAACTTCACTATCCAAAACTAGAAAGGTTTTCAAAATAAGGCACTCTGTTTCAAAGGAAATTATTCAAGCAACACGTACCACACATATACTGCTATGAAAAGAAATGCTTTCTACTGAGTTTCCAGAAAAAACGCAATCCCAATGAAAATAAATATAATCCAAAAGAGTTTATAATTTACATTTGGCTTTGGCATTTTGTTTTTCAGTAGGAGCTTCCAAATCATATTTCTTCTCAAGCCAATATTAAAGTAAGAAAATTCCTTAACTACCAACCAAAAGATCTTCAAAAGTGATCACACAACTGAAGTTAAATTTCCTTGTCAACCTGATTGACTTTCACAGAATGTGACTTAATTCAACATTACATGACCACGTTTCCTCCCGCCCCAATAATACATAGCTGTGCTTTAGAAGAGAACATTCTTTTGCTGTTTGAGTCGCATACTGTAAAATAATGAAAAATCACTCTTATCCTGATTTATACCTTTATATGAATAGTTTTATGAAGATGTAAGAAGCTATATAAAATGTCTTATGACTATAGTTCACTAAAAATCTTAAGTCCATTTTATTTATTTTTATTTTTTAAGATTTTTAATTATTTACTGAAGAGAAAGAGAGAGCACAAGGCAGGGAAGTGGCAGAGGGAGGACAGTCAGACTTCCCACTGAGCACAGAGCGAGACACACAGGGCTCGATCCCAGGACCCCGAGACCATGACCCAGTCATGGTCAGATACTTAACTGACTGAGCCATCCAGGTGCCCCCGTAAGTCCATTTTCATGTCCTTAGCTAATATTAAATCTTTTTCACCACCACCTCCCCCAGACTCTGAATATTAAATTTTTTAATGGTAAGGGAAAAAGCCATAAAATCATTGGAAATTATATGGAAATAATCTTAGCAATCCTGACCTCATTCAATAGACAAAAAAACTGGAAGCTAGGAAAATTAAGGGACTTCCTTCTGATACACTGCTAACTAGGTGGGACAGATCTAAAGTTTAAAAGTTCTTTGGCACCTGGTACTGATGATACCACATTACCATAATGGACATTCTTCTGATGACACATAACTCTAAGAAAAACTAAACACAATGCATGAATCTATGTTTGTCCTTTAAAAAAAAAAGTGCAGGGACGCCTGGGTGGCTCAGTTGGTTAAGCGACTGCCTTCGGCTCAGGTCATGATCCTGGAGTCCCGGGATCGAGTCCCACATCGGGCTCTCTGCTCAGCAGGGAGTCTGCTTCTCCCTCTGACCCTCCCCGCTCTCATGCTCTATCTCATTCTCTCTCTCAAATAAATAAATAAAATCTTTAAAAAAAAAAAAAAAGTGCAAAGTATTGCCATTGTTTGAAAGAAAGCAGTTAATGAACTTATACTATCTCCTCCCACAAATCTTCAACCAGGGGCGTCTGGGCGGCCCAGTCGGTTAAGCATCTGCCTTCGGCCCAGGTCATGATCCCAGGGTCCTGGGATCGAGTCCCCCATCGGGCTCCTTGCTCTGCGGGGAGTCTGCTTCTCCCTCTGCCCCTGCCACTCCCCGCTGCTCATGCACTCTCGCTCTCTCAAATAAATAAAAATCCTTAAGAAAAAATCTTCAACCATCTTGAAATACTGGAAAATACTTAGCTTTATATCCTTATTCCAGTTTAATGATCAAAAAAGAAAATACTGATGGATTAATGAAGCCTTCCCATGGGACGAAAGCAGCCACGGCTGTGCTGCCTTCAGAGGCCGCGGATGCACAAGCCTGGGACACAGCCTCCTCAACTGAAACAAGGGCAAATCAGAGCACGAACCTCTGCAGGCCTGGCATTCTGGGGAGCCTGCTCAGCACCGAAGACAAAGCGATGAGGGACCACAAATGTGTTCAATCCATCATATTAAAAGAAATCAGGGGAAGGCAAATCTAGAAAGCCTGGCCCACAGATCAATTCCAAAAGTCAACAGAGGTCTCTTAACCCAAAGACGTTCCTAAGACGCACTACCCGATCCATTATCAAACAGGACTGGACTACATTTTCCCATCATACTGATGTTCCTCCCTGAGTGTGGCGAGCACGCCACAGCCATAATTTCACTGTGGAACTCGGCTCCGGGTAGCATTCCTTCAAACAGCCCACCTGTGCAGTATGTGGTACGGCGCGTACTGCTAGCTTAGTAAGAGCGCCCGTGCAGACCCTACAACTGCCAAAGTACCAGGCTGCTTTTTGTTTCTCCTTCAGAAGAAAGCAAAAGTTCAGTTTCTAGGACTTCGCGTGACGCGGGTCCGCCACACTAACACCAGGGAGAGCCAGGGCTAACCCTTGCCACTCCTCGTGTCTTCATGTCCAACACCGTGAAGCAGAAACGAGGCTTTACTGTCAGCTGGGAAAGGATTTTCTGCAGTGAATGCAATCTGCTTCCAATCTGATAAAACCCACATATGTGCTTCAGAATTTAATAAAAAACTCTTCAAAATGTGCTAATTTGTTGCTGAGCAAATGAAACGTATAACAAGAAAACTACACCTAATTAGTCATGTAAGATCCTAACCAATAAAGCCTCTAAAATAGCATGATTTCCTCAAAGCACAAGCAGTAAAAAGTTTCCAAGAGCTTAACCGCATTTATTGTGTACAGCTAAAATTCATGCGATATGCATATTTACAAACATTATTCTTGAAAAAATGGTGTCTTACAGGTAAACAATTATTTGCATACATTTCACTGCATCAATCACAGCACTAAATGGAAAAAATATTTTAAATTACTTCCAGTATTTCACATTTAGCCAGCTCCACAGAGCCAACAGTGGTGGCCAAGTGGACAGAATTTCTTATGACTAATTAGACAAATTCTATCTGCATCCAAGAACTGACAAAATTTGGTTAGACTTACTTGCTACTCCTGACGCAAGTCCATAGAGCAGTCCTCCCCCCTCCGACTGCTGTGGGAGCACCTGTGCTCCTGGAGGGGGCGGCTTTTCTTGTCTGATAAAGTTATACAATAAGGTTTTCACAAGTTTGCTGGTGTACGGAAGACTACACAAAAAGAAAAAAGAAGAAAATCAAACTCATAGTTATGGAAGTCCCCTGATTTTGTATAATGATAAATATCATCTATATAATCTTTTAATAAAAAAGGGATTAGCACAATTCAAAGAAATGTAGCACTGTCACATAACAGTGAAGACTGTGGGCTCTGAGATCAGACTTGAGGCTGAATTCTGGCTTTCCTGTTTCTATGCCATAGTTGTTGGTCAAATAACTTCAACTCCTGAGCGCCAGTTACCTTACTGGTAATCTGTATAACAGGTGACATATTATAAATTCAGTGTATTATTCAGTACCTGGTACTTGAAGGGAGGTAATAACACAGAATCAGTGGGGAAAAGCAAGAATTAAAAAGCAACAATATAAAAGACTATACATTTTAAGCATGAAATTATTCAATTTATGCATGCATACAAAGTATTATATATATTTATTCTTTCCTTTTAAGTAATGGAATGAAAGGAGAAGAGAACACAAGTGAAAAGGGATATGTGTCCACAAATTAAAGTGATAAACCAATTCCTACAATCTAGAGAAAACTCTGTAATAGACTCCTGAGCCAAAGCTCAGGCTCTTTCTCTATAGCCAGTGATTTTCAAATGTGTTCCAAACAGCCTTACAGGATTCTGTGACTGTATCACAGGTACAATCCAGGGAGCAAGAAGGTGCCACATAGATAACCACGGCAACAAGAAGGATGTGAAAAAGACAAAGCTCCTCCCACTCCCTGAGAACTTTAATCAAAGCTACTTTATTTGTAATTGTTTTACATTCTCAAGTTCTGTGAAGAATGTGCCAATAGAAGATACGTGTGTGTGTGTGTGTGTGTGTGTGTGTGTGTGTGTTTTATCTACTTCCAGCCCCCCATTAGGAGCTTGTAAGCTGCTACTGAAGAGCAGAGCCCCCCATCCTAACGCGGTTAACACACACTAAATATCTATGACTAAATGAAAGTAGGAGCAGTCAGCTAAGAGGCTGCTGGACTAGTCCAAACACAGGGTGACTGGGTGGAGATGTGGTAGTTTCGAAGGGACCTGTGAAAAGGGGAAGACTGAAAATAATTTCAGTGGACAAGCATGCCAAGATGAGTGCTTAGACATAGAGAATGCTGCAGAAAAAGAAGAAAGACGACTTCAAAGTTTCACTTCTACAAAGAAACCACCAGAGAAGGTGAAAAGCCGTGGAGATGAAAGGGGCAGGGAGGATGGACAGTTTAAATCGGAAAGCAGAATCTGGTTCCTTACGTGTTGGGTTTGGAGTGCGGACAGAATCACAGAAGGAAATGTCTGGCTGGACAGCTGGGACAACAGTGAGGTTAGAGGACAAGACCAGAAATATAGATTTATACAATAAGAAGTAGAAAAATGTAAAACAGGAACATACCATCGACCTCGCATCAAATACTTGTGACTGATACTGTGTCGCAAAACTTCCTTGTGGAAGAGTTGGCAAGAAAGGAAAACCACCATTGTTGATACAGCTTCTACTGAGATTTCATATGTAATATCTCTGGAGAAATAGGAAACAAACAGAATAATGATCCCCTTGGAAATTAGGATTGCTCTTTTCTAAATTATACATTTAAAAACTCAACCTAAATATTCAACATGTTTCTGGGTTATAAAAAAAATACTAATATGTTTAACATAAAAATTAAGTCAAGCAAAAACATGAAGCCCTTTCCCAGCCATTAGCTCTTGTACTTGGGTTAGGCATCCCATGACTTTCCTATTTTCCAGTTCCCATCTCCTGCTGAATGACAAGTCTCTTAATGTATAACGGAAACAGTTACCAGCAGTGTTCGGCTTGGAAGATCCACCCTAAAGCTCTATGTTCATCTCTGTTTATTTATAATGCAGAACCAAATATGCAGATTGCCAAACTGAAGAGAAGTCCCAGTGCAGGGAAGAAAACAATGCCTTTTCGTGGTGATAATCACTTTACAACGAGAACAACGGCATATCCTAACAACTCTACCTCTAGTGTCTGCTGCCTCAAGGCCAACTCTGCATGTTCAACAAAATATGGACAGTGAACACATTATACCTGTTTTATTAAGCAAGTTTCTCCCAAGATCATCAGCCGCCCTTTAGAAATAAATCTTAGATCAAATAAAAAGGAAACAAAGTTTTGGCTGAGCAGGAAGCACAAACAGGAATAAATGGCTCAAGAAATCTTCAGTTATTGCAAAAGTTTAACATGATCATCATGGGGAAAAGTAACAGATCAGGAAAGTGGAAATCTCAACAACACAGCAAAAAGAGTAACAGCTCCAAAAGAGTATCAAAATATTTGACACACTGAAATACTCATGGAAAGCCCCCCCCAAAAAAAACACTTAACACCTACTTAAATGAGGCTCATTAAGCAAATTAAACATGTCTTGATTCTAGAACTGGGCAAGCTTAAATTCTACCAGATATTTTAAGGACTTATTGCTGATAGAAATCTCTTTTATTTTTTTTTTTTAAGGAATTTTTTTGAAAGATTTTATTTATTTATTTGACCGAGAGAGAGCACAAGCAGGGGGAGCAGCAGGCAGAGGGAGAAGGAGAAGCAGGCTCTCTGCCGAGCAGGGTGCCCAATGTGGGGCTCGATTCCAGGACCTTGGGATCACGACCTGAGCCAAAGGCAGCCACCCAACCAACTGAGCCACCCAGGTGCCCGATAGAAATCTCTTTTAAAAATAAAATACACAAAACACAAGCGGTCCATGCAACTGATGTTGTTATGTAATGAATAAATCCCAGTTCTACTCAGAAATCTCACTTTCAAAAGTATCATAGAACAATTCTCTCTCCTGAAATTTCCATAATTAGTGTTGTAAATATTAACTACATAAAACACAATTCTTATATTTGTTCTTACTCCTTGAACTGAATGAAAGACAAGCATGACATGTCATGATTCATTAATTCTTCATAATAATGATGATGACTGCTAGCACCTGAAAGATTTTGCATCACAGCTATCATTTACTCATATAGCCCATACTCTATGGTCAATTGGCTAGACATTTAGCTGGGTCAGGGCTTAAAGCCAAATCCTGAAGAACAAAATATCTTGCTACAGGGTAAAGCCTATCTAGATAGGTGACCACCTCCAGGACATTTGATCATATATTCAGTTACTGCATCAATAATAAAGAATCAACTGCAGTGGTTTATAATTTATAATTTAACATCTTATTCTATGTCCCAAATCCAAATTCTGTAAAGCTGTACAGGAGTGAAGGGTAGAGGGTTTCATGTTGGGAGGTAGGGAAAGCTGACAGCACATAAGAATAGTGACTCAACAGGACATTTTCGTGTCAAGCTACAAATCCATTCACCAAAATTCCTAAACAGAACTAAGTGATCCCCCTTGTGTGCTTCCATAGGTCTATGGATAAAAGTTCTATCAAACTGTTTATTACACTGTATTCCACTTTGTAGGTCATTCAACAAATATTTACAAAGAACTTATTCTTACTATATCTAGACAGGCATTATGCCCCATATTGGAGACACATCCATCAACAAAGAGATAAGGCTCCCGCCTTTATGGAGCTTACAGTTTAGTAAAGAAAAGAGAACTCAAGAAATAATTACACCAAAAAGGGTCATAAAGAAAAAGAGTAAGTAACACCATGAAAGGATTTAGGGGATTCTGGTTGTAAAGCTCTTCTGAAAAAGTGACATTAAGTTAAGCCCTAAAGCATGACTGGCAAGCAGTTACATGCAGACGAGTTTTGTTTTTTTTTTAAGATTTATTTATTTGAGGGGCTCCTGGGTGGCTCAGTCGTTAAGCGCCTGCCTTCAGCTCAGGTCATGATTCCAGGGTCCTGGGATCGAGCCCCGCATCGGGCTCCCTGCAGAGGAGGAAGCCTGCTTCTCCCTCTCCCACTCCCCCTGCTTGTGTTCCCTCTCTAGCTGTCTCTCTCTCTCTGTCAAATAAAGAAATAAAATCTTTTAAAAAAAAATTTATTTATTTGAGAGAGAGCATGTGCACACGTGCAAGTGGAGCTCCAAGTTATGACCCATGAGATCATGATCTGAGCTGAAATCGTGACCTGAGCCAAAAACAAGAGTTGGACGCTTAACCAACGGAGCCACCCAGGTGTCCCAAGATGAGTCTCTTTTCTAGCTAGGGATCCTTTCATTTTTTAGTTAGTTATATTCCCAACTCTAGTACATAACAGACACTCAATGAATAAATGGACACAGAGACAGAGGGATTTTTTCTTTTTTGTAACTTCTGTATTTTTTTGAGAGAGAGAGGCAGAATCTTAAGCAGTCTCCACGCCCAGTGTGGAGCCCCACATGGGGCTCAATCTCACAACCTTGAGATCATAACCTGAGCTGAAATCAAGAGTAGGACACTCAACTGACTGAGTCACCCAGGCGCCCCAAGATACAGGGATCTTTTAATGCTCTGATTTTTATTGGAAATGACTGACTGGGTCTTCCTGAATAGACTCATCAGCATAGCATATAAAGCATATGTAATTTGGAATAGCAAAAAAGGAAGAAATGTGTTGAGGTCATGTAATACCTGGTCATAATACAAAAGAATACTCATTGCAAACATAAAGGGAATTTCATGAAGGACCCACGATGCTGCTGATTGAGAGGATATCTTTTATTCATTTTTCTGACCAGCATCCATTTATCAGCAGTAAAACAAAGGACACATAGGATGATCTGAATGGAATGACTTAATACCATGAAAATAGTAATTCTACACAAATTAATCCTAAAGTCAAGTCAGGAACTTTTTCAGGAATGTCCTAAAGTGACTCTAAACTTTTTATGGAAGAGTAAACATGGCCAAGTCAACCTTGAAAATAAAGAGTGAAGAGAGGGACTTTCACTACCAGGTATCAAGCCATGCTATGCAGCTATAGCAATAAAAACAGCATGGTATTTGCACACACACACAAAAAAAACAGGCAAATGAATGAAACCCACCCAAGAACCAAACCTATGGCTCACACCTGTGGTGCAGACATAAATAACATACAACAAAGATGGGTCCACGAATCAATGAGGACAGAAGAGACTGTACAGAGGATGGTGCTAGGAACAACTGGCTCCTTTTACAAAGAAAGTAGTATCTAACAACATACTCAAAGCCCCACTACAGATGGGTTAAAGACCTGGATGTGAATGGTACAGCTAAAGTTAACACAAGAAAACATACGATGCTAAGTTTGGAACATAAGCACATGAAATGACTTCTTAAATAAAAGCCTGAGAGCACAAACCATAAAGTCAAAAAATGCACTTAATTACATAAAAATTAAGGATTATTGCTCAACAAATGAAACCTTGGACAAAGGTAACAGGCAGATGAAGAACAAGAAACTCATCAAGAACCTTACAAACAACTCCTGCAAATGGCCAAGAAAAAAAAAAAAAAAGAACTCCACTAGGAAAAAAGAGCAAAGTATATTAACAGTTTAAAACACCGTGATATCCCTTTCTGCCCTGGAAAATATAAAGTATTGGCAGGCATATGGTGATATATAAACCCTCACGTACTGCTGATGGGAATATTAACCAGAGCAGTCATCTTTAGAGAGCAACCTATGACCCAATACATGTATATATGCCAAAGAAAAACTCACAGAAACTGTTTGAGGACTGTGGTAGGCAAACTCTAAAATGACTCTCAATAATTCCTGCTTCCTGCTATTCATATGCCCTTGTGTACTGCCTCCCCTTGAGTGCAGGCTGAATCTAGTAACTCACCTCTGATAAACACAATAAAAGTGAGAGGATGCCACTCCCAGGTGGAGGTAAATTTACAAAATGACTATGGCTTGTGTTGGGCACCCTCTCTTGCCTTTCCTTTTTTTTTTTCCTTTTTTTTGCTTTCTCTGAGGGAAGCCAGATACTTTGTTGTGAGCTGACATATGGAGAAGTCCACCTGGCAAAGAACTAAAGGAGGCCTCCAATCAACAGCTAAAGAACTGAAGTCCAGTTTCCCTAGAGTAACTGAATCCTGACAACAGCAAGTGAGAAATCTAGAAAGCAGGTCCTCCCCTTCCTAGCTGAGGCTTCAGATGAGACCACAGCCCCAGCAATAAGCTCAACTACAACCTCAAGAGTCAGAGGCACCATGCCAGCTCTACCTCCTGATCCTAACAAACTGGGCATGAAGCCTACTTAAAAAAAATGCATGTACATAGAACATTTAGTTGCACATATATATATATGGCATATATATATATATATATATATATGGCATATATATATATATATAAAATGCATTAGACACACTTAAAATGGCTGTTGATGGGAAAGAAGAGGAGTAAGGAATGGGGATAAATGGGAATAAGTGAATGGATTAACACCAAGTGCTGGGAGGGATGGGCCTCACATGAACCAGTGATGATAATGACCCTTGAAGTAATGACCCTTGAAGTGAAGTATGTGATCGACTCAATCTTATGCCTGATGTGTCCAAAATCAGGGACAGTGGGATGAAGAGGGGGGCATCAGAAGTTGGATGATGTACTGAAGTAG